ATATATATATATATATAGTTTATTTGAATTTAGAAAACAATTTCAGTAACTGCTAATAATGTGAGATAGTGGAGTGGTTAAACCATAATCTCCAGTGTCAGGCAGACCTGGGTTCAAATTCTGTCAAAACTTGGACACTTAGTTAATCACCCTGGGCCTCAATTTTCTTATTTATAAAAGAGGAATAATAATGATTAAGTGAACTATTACATGTAAGGCCCTTCACACAATGTGTGAAAGGTAATATGCACTCAATAAATATGAGCTAGTAGTAGAGGGAGCTCTGGTGGCATAGTGCCTGAGGCACTTGACTGCTAACCAGAAGGCTGGTGGTTCAAACCCACCAGCCACTCCTTGGAAAGAAGGTTGGGCAATCTATGTCTGCAGTGATACCACCTCAGAAACCCGAGGAAGGGTCGCTATGAGTTGGATCCAACTCGACAGCAGTGAGTTTGGTTTGGTTTTTGGTTTTATTATAGTAGACAATAAAAGATATGCTTCATTTTTTCATTTGACATTATTTAGTATGTATATTTCCACAGAAATTTAACTGGAACATCAAAAGTACTTCTAACTTTGATCTTGATAAAATATCATTGTATCTTATGAGTAGGCCCTTTAGTTTGAAAAAGATGTAAAATTATATTTTAGGTCTCTTAATCTCATAGACTTTGAAGAAGCTATTAAAAAAATGCTTTGCCATCTGAATCAATGCTGACTCATAGCAACCCCTGTGTTTCAGAGTAGAACTGTACTCCACAGGGTCTTCGATGGCTGTGATATTTATGGGAGTGGATTGTCAGGCCTTTCTTCCACAGCGCTGCTGGGTGAATTTGAACCAACAACCTTTCGGTTAGCAGCTGAATGCAAAGTTTGTGCCACTCAATGACCATGAAGAAATTATAACTTTGAGTTAATATCTGACATTATAAGAGATCTGCAGGTTACTTAACTATTCTTCTGTTAAGTATAGAGCAGAACAATTCATTATATTAAATGATTAGAAACAATCCACATGTCTAACAAGAATGGCTTGGAAGGAAGGTTGGGCAATCTACTTCTGTGATACTGCCTCAGAAACCCAAGAAAGGGTCACTATGAGTCGGGTCCAACTCCACAGCACATAACAACAACAACAACGATAATGGGATGGTTAGGTCATCTAATGTAGCTTCTAGACAGAGTAAAATGCAGCTATGAAGAATGTTATCTATGAAGACTATGTAATAACATAAAAAATACATTGATAATATGTAGAATGAAACATTTGATATTTGAAAAATATCACTTTAAGAATATATTTTTTATTTTTATATTTTTATATAAAATATAATTCCAATTATGTAATGTGCTTTCCAATTATGTAATGTGTTATGTGCTTACACTTTTGATAATATATACATAATGCCTAGATTTCAGTGGAGCAATTTTTTTCTGTTTCTCCTATTTTTATAATGTGCTTATTACTCATCATTAAAAATGCATTTTTAAAAATATGCAAACATAAAATGATTGAAAGGAAATACAGTTCTATTTGTTAATTATCATTCCCTGGCACCTAGAGGAAGATAGCCACCCATCTATACTCCATTCTGTTTCCCTTATTTGTCTGGATAGCCACTGTTTACTTTTGACCATGGTTAGCCCAAGATTGAATGGCCACTGGGAGAGGTGATTACTATGCAGTGGGCAATGTTTCCACTTTAGTTCTTCTTTTACCTCTTTCCCACTAACTTTGTAGACTCTAGGAAGCACTGAGCATGGAGAACAAGTTATATTTTTGCTAGCGTTTTTATAGTTCTGTATTAAGTTTAATAATAAAATGTTAACAAAATAACAACATTCTGCAATTACATGCTCTAAGATTTGAATGTGCTTTAAGAAAATTTATTTGTATTTATTTTTCTACCTTCCAAGGTATGGGTGATAATAAGTAATTTGTAAATGGGAAAACTGAGGTGAGTTGATTTGCATGAGGGCATAAATTAGTAGGAAATCCTGGATGAAAACAAAGGACTTCTAAATTTCTAGTCTACCGCTCATTTCAATTCGTCATCTTATCTATTTGTGGTAGTTAATATCTTATTATTAATCCATTTAATGATTTGGTCTGAGGAGAGTCAGTGCTGTTAACTATTCCCCCTTTTTTTTTTTTTTTCTGTAGGCTGGAAATATTTCATATGCCCTCAGCCTCTCCCGAGAGTTTCTTCTGTACAGTACGTAATGATAAAGATACACCAAAGGTCTGATTTATGGGAAAATCTCTCTCTTTCTGGTCTTTAGTACCTGCAAGTGAAATGTCAACATCTATTTTCATTCTTCTAATGTCATGACACACATTGCAGATTTTGGATTAAATCTTACTTATATTCAGGTCAACGCACCTGGGGAAAATTTTTAAGTTAGAAAATATGAAGATGAAGATATCAGCCTGTCTCTTTTCTCTTCCACCCCCAACCAGTTATATATTAGTGTTGCTTCCATGGGGAACAAGTCCAGGATTAGGAGCCACTTTCTTCAGAGACATTTTAAAGACCTAGGCTTTGGAAGTAGATCTGGGAATGAATGAAATCAATGTGAGCTGTGTACAAGAAGGAGTGCACTCGGCAGGATTATTCACTTGACAGAATGATATCAATTATTCTCTTTCAACCAATGCTTACTATGCTATGCAAGCTTCTTGCCCAGTTAGCTGCAGCTTTCAGCTGCAACCTCCTTGAGAGAGTGCCTCTCTAACAACACAATGAGTTCAACTGGACGGATGTTCTTCCTAATACAGCTAGCTCTCTGCTGTGCTTGGAAATTTTTGCTTAAAATTTTGATGTTAGATTTCTCCCCAGGTATTCATTTAACAAGGTATTTAGATACTAATATCAGATCCAAAATTAGTATTGTTGTTTCCAGTATTTATAAAATATTTCATGTAAGATCTCACAATTATATTTATTCTTGACTTTCTTATTGTGGTAAAATATACATAAGAAAACATTTGTCATCCCAACCATTTTTATGGGTACAATTCTGTGACGTTATTTATCATGTTGTGGCACCATCACCATTGTCTGTTTACCATTTTTTCCCTCACCCTTAACAGAAATTCAGTACTTCTTAACAATAGCACCCCATTTCCCCTCTCCACCCACTCTGGTAACCACCAATAATCTTTGGTCTCTATGCGTTTTCTTATTCTAGAAAACTCATATAAGTAGAATCATATAGTATTTGTCCTTTTGTGTCTGACATTTCACTCAATATAATGTTTTCAGGATTCATTCATGTTGTAGCATGTATCAGAACTTCATTTCCCTTTGTAGTTGAGTAATGATTCCATTGTATGTATAAACAACATTCTGTATTTAAAACTTTTTAATGAATCCATTGAATAAGATTGCTCCTTTCTGATAAGTTGGCAAACAGTAGGATTAGGAAGTAGATTTATGGTCTGGAAACATGCAGGTAGTTAGAAGTAAAGGCAAATTTATGACTCAACTACCCCTTTATTTCTTTGTGCTTAATCTATTAAAATCCCTGTCCCTCCCAGAGAACCTAAATCAGGTGCTGTCATAGGTGGGGAAGTTGTTGTTAGGTGCCATCAAATTGGTTCTGATTCGTAGTAACCCTGTGTACAACAGAACAAAACACTCCTGGGTCCTGCGCCATCCTCACCATTGTTGTATGCTTGAGTCATTGTTGCAGCCACTGTGTCAATCCACCTCTTTAAGGGTCTTTCTCTTTTTCACGGACCCTCTACCAAGCATAATTTCCTTCTCTAGGGCTAGTCCCTCCTGATAGCATGTCCAAAATACACGAGAAAAAGTCTTGCCATCCTTGCTTCTGAGGAGCATTCAGGCTGTACTTCTTCCAAGACAGATTTTTTTTTATTCTTCTCACAGTCCATGGTGCATTCAATATTCTTCACAAGTAGGTTACAGCAAATTGAGTTTCCTGGTTTCATTTTTGGCTTTGCAATATTTTTATTGGTGCTTTGGGACCATCATTTCCATTTTCCAAAACTTCATTACTCCTCTTCTGAGAAATGATGGTAATTTCTGTCCTTTCCTTTTTCTCCCTTTCCAGGGTGGTGGTGGTGGTGGTGGTTAGAAGCCAGTTGAGCTCCTTAAAGAAAGATGCTTTGGGAGCATTAGAACAATTTAGCATCTCCTTCTGAGATGCACTGAGATCCATGAGCAAAGGCCAACTAGTCATGGGTAAGGCATTTTGGAGCCGAAGTGGGCACAAACAGGTTGACACAAATGAGACACAAGACTTACCAGGTTTTCATGGGACCCCGAAGGACTCCAGAGCCAAAGTTTAGCAACACTTTGTTCCATACTGCTCTGGTCTGTGCATAGGCCATTTAGGGATGTTGAAGGACTTAGTAGAGTTGAGAATGAATTAGCTTCTAGTTCTTCAGGGAAGAATAGGTTGGGTCTATCTGCTCTAGGTTTGGTTCTCTGGACTTGTCATTCTTAGCACTTAATTATCATCTTTTGTTGTAGTTATTTAATGTCTCTTCTCAATTAGACTCTAAATTCTAGGAGATTAACCTCTATCATAGTATCTATGCATAGTACACGTTTGCTGGAGATTTATTGAATGGGTGGTTGAATGAATGAATGAATGAGTAAGACCTCTTCCTTATACACAAAACTGGCCATCCCACTATCCTAGAGTAGCCATCTGCATGATCCCTTGCCCTAAGAGTATAAGGACCAAGTTCCTCCCAAAGTCCTTTGCATCTTCAGATTTACCAAGTCCAACTCAATTATTTTTAAAATTCCAGGTAACTTTTCTGATATTGTGCATTGACACAAATTCAGGATGTCTAGTTGTTGGGTCTGTGTGACAGTGAAGCTATAGGACACCTTGGTGGAACTCTTTGGGGATGTTGTTTGTCAATGTACATCATTCTCAGCTCTGATTTCTCCCAGGTCCAGACAATAAGAGGATGGCCAGGAATGTCTTGAAATATGAAAGGCTCTTGGCAGAGAGCCCCAAACAGATGGTAGCTGAAGCTGTCACCCAGAGGCCTAATGTTCCCCACCTGCAGACCAGAGACAAGTATGAGGGACTGTGTCAGACCCTAGGTTCCCAGGTAGGATTCCTCAGGATAAGAAAAAGGGGAATATCTTGGCTAAAAGTTAGCAGGTAGAATTGGGCAAATGTGTGTATGTGGGGATACTGATACATTAAAAAAAAAATAAAGCTCCCTTGGATATTGGGATATCATCAGAATGACCACATTCTGATAGCTTTTTTTTTTTTTTAATGTCATAGAGCCCCTAGTTTGGTTTCTGCTCCTAGACACGTCTTTTCTTATGCTGAGTCAGCTGTTTCCCTTCTAGCCTACTCACTACCAGATCCCTAGCCTCTACTGCTCCTATGAGACCAACTCTAGCCCATACCTGCTGCTCCAGCCTGTCCGGAAGGAGGTCATCCACTTGGAGCCTGATGTTGTCCTCTATCATGACTTTGTCAGTGACTTGGAGGCTCAGAAAATTAGGGGCCTTGCAGAACCATGGGTGAGTGTTCCCAAACTCTGCTAAGAATTTCCCTTTGTGTTTTCACATGATGGGGTGGGAGAATAACAGCTTGAACCCCTAGAAATTTCAGTAGTTAGTCCAGGAGTCCATATTCCATGTAATGTCCACATTCCATATAATTAAAAGAAAAAAAAGAAGTAAAATGATGTGGGCAAGAGTGAAATTCTTGTGAAGACATACAGAATCACAGAGTAGAAAAATGATCTGGTTCCATTTCATTATTTTGTTAATGAGGAAACTGAGGCCCAGTGAGGGGAGAAACTGGATTAAGGTCATGCTTTTAGCTAGTGACAGAGCTATAGCTGGAACTTAGAGATATGTTGATTGCTGCTGCTCTGCCGTCCAACTTTCTTATATCAGTTAAGCTGGGCTAAGATATACTTGGTAAGAAGCAACACCAAAACCTCAGTGACGATAATAGCAGTAAAAATGTATTTCTCTCTCACATTCCATGTCTGTTTTGCATTGGCTTCAGCTCTACTCCACATTTTCTTCACTACGGGTCCAGGCTGACATAGCAGCCTCTGTTTGGAACATTGCCAATCTCATGGGAGAGAAAAAAGACAGAGATGGCAAACCATGAGCTGCCTCTTAAATCTTCTGCTTGAAAGTGCCAAACATTACTTTCATCCACATTTCATTAGTCAAAGGAAATCATGTGGCCTCTACTAGATCAACAGGCATGATATATTTCATTCTTCCACAGGGAAGACACTGCACATCCCTGAGCCAAGCTGGATGTCAGTGGAGAAGGAATGTTTGATCCTCCCCCAGGATGGGTGGAGAATTTTTAGAAAATAATAGTCTACTTCACCACTGTATGCATGTTGCCTCTTTGAAACATGGTACATTAATGCTATCTCCGACTTATTTTTCTAAGTGCTGTGGGGGGTGGTCAAACCAGAGGTACTTAGTAGTGTGCTGTTTATCCACGCATCCATCCAGTGATTCATCAACATGTACTGAGAGTCTGCTGTGAGCCATACAATATACTGGGCTTTTTTTTTTTTTTTTTTAATTCGTTGACAAAATGCATTCTTTATTTGATGACAAAATCATCTTTAACTTTACACTTTTGTTTTTATATCTTTCCTTCATGTTTTGATAGAGATGCCACAAGATAAGGTAAAAATACCCATTGGGTTGTAGCCCCAGAACTTCTGGCTTTAGAAGTTGTCCTGAAAAGAAGTACAGGTATGCATTGCTTAACATTAAGGCAACATCTGACTACATATACATCTGTGGGCCGGGACAGCCAAGTTTCTGAAAGCAAGGACGCCAGATTCTTGCTTTGAGGTTAGAGACCCACTTCTGCTTGGCTGCTGTGCATGGCCTGGAAGCCACCTAAATCTGCAGCAATTGATGCCCAGAATCATACTCTCAATTTAGTCTCCTTCAACTCACGTGACTTGCCATGTCTAGTCTCCCACTTTGCCCAATGTGGTCTTATAGGGCGCTGATGAAAAAGCGCCTCAGCCTTGGCTCACGTGCCTTAGGCCCACACCTTCTCCCCAGGCAAGTTACATGGGTGAGTTGGCCTTTCCTGCCTTTGACTTAGCAGAGAAGGCAACAACGTGTCAGGGGACCCAGCCAAGTGCTCACCTGAGGGAATGCAGCTGGAGCTGTCCAGGCCATGCTCCTCATAGCAACCCTCTGGGCAGTTCACCTGGGAGTCACCCTCCCAAACACCACCTTGTGGACATAGGTGTTCACACAACATCCAAATCACACAAAATCCTATTTCACAGACCATATCGTAGATGTTAAGTGACACATACTTGCAGTTACAGACAAGTTAAGACCCAAATACAGGGGATCTTGGAAAACCTGCATCTACCTATACTTCTTTACCAAACTCAGAATCAATGTCTAAAACTGAAATATATTGTTGTTGTTGTTGTTATGTGCCATCGAGTTTTTGTTAATGTAATATTTCTATAAGCATCTGGAAAATTCCCTTATTGCAAAAGACTTCACCTTACTAGATCTCCCTACTCCCATCTCAGACTGCTCCAAATATGCCTCATTGCTGATATTATCCTCCTACCCAAAATTCTTTTTCTTTTTTTTTTTTATTATTATTTGGGTGAAATTTTACAGAGAAAATTCACTTTCCATACAGCAGTTCACATACACTTTGTCTCATGACACTGACCACAACTTACCCCAATGCAACATCTCCCCTCCTACTTCCTCCCGATAATTATCTCTTCCCTGTGTCCATCCCTCCATGCACTCCTGCCCCCTGAGCTGTCTCCCTGTGCATAAACAACCCTTCCTTCTCCCATGATTGTTCTCTGCAAGGAGTGTATCTACCTCAAATAAATGTTCAATGCATATGCCTGTCTTTTGTTTGGCCACAAGCCACAGGTGTGGGTTCAGTTCCAGACCTGAAGGGCAACTGGGGGCCATAGTCTCAGTGGTTCCACCAGGCTCTATCAGACAAACAAATCTGGTCTCCCTCCCCTTTTTTTTCCCAAATGATTTTGAGTTTTGTTCCACATTGTTCTCCCTCTCTATCCAGGAACTCCTACATAGATTCCCCTCTGAGTGGTTAACGGTGGTAACCAGGCACCATCTAGTTCTTCTGGCCTCATAGTTGTATAGGCTGTGGATCGCTTGGTATACCAGTCGCCAGGACTAATTGTTTCCATGAATCTTTGGTTTTCTTCATTCTTCTTTGCTCTGGACGAGGAGAGACCCATCATTGCATCTAGAT